AATTTTCAAGGAATTATTTCCTACCTTGCAAGAAAGATAGAAACATTAATACCAACTCATTAATGATGCCTATCATAATGTTTCATAGGAAGAATATTGTGATAGCCTTCATTGTAGTACATATTAGGTTTTACTGAATGGATGGGTGACTATTACAGAGCATGTCATCTCAGTTTCACTTACAAAAAAATTAAAAGAGATAAAAGAAAATTAATAAGGCTGGCACATAGCCCCAGCTGGTGTCAGAATTAAGAGCATTTAAAGCTGAAGTTTCTGAATAGGAAAGTTTGAACTCATTAAAAGCTCACACTCACCACTCCTATTATCAAGAAAAGAAATGCTTCATTGCTCTAAATTATAAGAGAAATTATTATTAAATAAGGAAATTATATATAATTATGTGGACTTTATTGTAATATTTTCATTCATTACTATATTTCTATGCATATCAAATAATTCATTAGGAAATTAAAATAATAATAATTAAAAGAGATAGCACCATTTTAATAAGAATTACCTTGAGATTTAATGTAACTCCAGCCAAACAAAAAAATCACTGCGGTTAAATCAGACACTCCGCTAAATCTAATTTTTTCTCCGTTCTATCTCTTTTTCGATGTAAATCCAAACTTATTAAATATAATGTTGAGAAAATTAGGGCGAAGAAAAACAGTAATCGACACAAATCCATAAGAACACAGATATTTAACGAGGTTCGGCAAAGATGCCTACGTCATCGGGAGCAGAGCGTTTAATGAGGTTCGGCAAATATGTCTACATCCTCGAAAGCAGTGCGATGACTTTCTTTTTAATATTCAGAAAAGAATACATAATACATGATTCAGCTCTCTCAAAAACCTAAGATTACAAATAGGTTTAATTATAATCCTATAGTAAACCCTACAGCACAATATGTAATTCCCAAATTACCCCTGCACCGTATAGCGGGGCGTTGACCCAACACCCCCAACCCACATAACGTAACTTCCCGATTTGGACAGATTCTTCCGCTTCGTTCCAGCGTTTGTCCCTATATGGTATATGAGTCATACCATAACAAATCTCCACCTTGACGAATATCCAGCCCCTTAGGAGAAAAGATACCTGAGAGTTACACCTGCACCAATGTGGGTTGGGTCACCATGCTTCTGCTGCGCCCACGCTGATGTCAACCCACTAAATTCCAAGAGACACACCTCTTTAATTCTAAGAGACTTCTCTTCATTCCAAGAGACTCCAAATTCTGGTATTATGAGTCATACCTAACATATAACTACAAGTCGGATTTAATATATGAGTTTACGCGTGTCAGGATCTAACTATTGAGAATTTGGTAAAAATGAAAATATGGGTTGGCATTTTATCATAATTTTGATATTTGAGGGGGGGAGTTTAAGAAATGGAAGGGTGGGAAATGTAAATAATGAAATCGGATCTGATAGAGATTGTACAACCTACTCTGTTCTCGCAGATCAGTGGATGAGGAAGGAATCAATTATATCATCCACTGAATCCTCTGAAAAAGCTACTCTCTAAAACAGCTTTCGCCATCCGGTCCAGGTTACAATAAGTGCTGGCACCAGATGTTTTGAGAAGGACCTGAAACAAAAGAAGGGAGGCTGGGAAACGTAAATTACATAAAAAAAAGGGATGGGTTGCATATATAATTATATATGTGTTGCATTTGCGTTCTAAACTACTGAAGTTTGTTCCAGTTGATTGAAGAGGGAAGCGCAGATGAGGAAGGGTAGGTGGAAGGTTTTTATGCCCAGTTATGATGAGTTACTTGTACTTTTTTGTTTCTTTAATGCAGGTTTATGCACAGCACACAAATATTTTTCAGGTGCATTTACATAGATCGCATATATTTTTTATGCATTCATGTATCTCACATATCTAAAGTAATGCCTATAGTGACTCTTTAGTTTACGGAATTTGTAAGATCCCTGAGATTACGGATATGACTCTGGCTATATGTGGGATGTAATTCTTAAGCACATAAGATTAGTTGGGAGGCTCGTATGATAGCCTCTTACCAATCTCTTTTAAAATATAATATTATTATCACTTCATAAACATGAAATACAATTTTTTCGTGCAAAGATTTAAAACACTGGAGTGTTGTATATACGTAAATACAAAAGTTTAGGTTTGAGAAATGTAAATACATAAGAGCTGCATGTTAGATATGCAAATTTCCCTTTTTTCTTCAAATAAATTTGTATTCCTATTTTTTATTTTCTCATGAAAGCCAACAAAATTGGATGAAGGTGATCACGAGACAGTAATTGGAAGATCGTTGATGACAATCAAGTGATATTAATTGGGTGATCACCGATGGTGATCACTAGCATTGATCATTTGACAGAGCTTTAATTCAGTTTTGTAAACTCTTTTCAGCTCGATCTCATTCATGGGAAGAAAGAAGGTTTCTTTGTAAATATTTCAATTGATGTTTTGATTATTTTAGCTAAAACATATGTACACTCCATCAAATGGTCTATCTTTTTTCCATAAGCATAGATAGTTCTTTAGACATGTAAGTTTTTTAATGAGATAATTAGGGTTGGGCAATTTTGGACTAGTTGGATTTTGCTCGTCAAGATGCTCATTTTTGTTGTAAGGATATATGATTTGGAAATCATTTAATCCTTAAAATATGTATTTTGTAGGATTTAACTATACCTCAAGTTCTTAATTTAGGTTTGTTTGAAGTCCGATCAAGATACTTTTGATATCGTTTGGCTTGTCTTATCAAATATTTGTTTCAACTATAGTTTTGTTGAAAATTGAAATTGGAGTTTTGACTGTCACAAATTTAATCCTTAATTTTTTTTAATTTGCATATTTATGTCTAGATCAACATTAAATGGATGCATTTTCCAGTGCCGGATTAGGCTTCAAAAGTTATATTGCAAAAAAACTAAAACAAGAATGGTGAAAACATCTTATGAAATTTTGAATCGAAAGAAATAGCTATATATACTAGGTAGACTTGCTAGAGATATTCAAATATATTTTCGATAGAATGTTAGAGAAAGAAAGATATTTGATTTGCTATGTTGACAATGGTGGGACCTAATCTCTTAATGATTTTAGCAATTGCTAATTTGCATGACATTACATGGGTCACTTGTTCCCAATATATTCTTCTTCTATTGGGGACCACTCCTCTATGGAGATAAGAATTGATACCAATTCTCTTCTTCCATTGTCTCTTAAAAGGCTATATTATTCTCATAATATAATTACACCACCAAAAAGTTATCATAACAAGCAAGCAAATCCTATAAATTTAGCGTAAATTTTGGTTTGTTGTAATAAGAAAATGACTGTGGTAAGAAAATCTAAAGCTAAGAAAATCATGTTGCAATTGAAGCCATCATATCTCGAAGACTGTAGAAGAATAAAGAATTTAGATTTTGATAAGTAGAGAATATAATTTTTTTAATAGGAACGTTGCTATCAGAAATTCCAAGTCAAAGAGGCATTCCACCAAATGAAAGTTGTTTCTCAAAGCTCAAGTAAAAGAATCTTAGTTTACAACAGAATCTTCTATGCATATGTGCCATTTAGTTTCCTTATAGAGGGAAAATAAGAGTGCAAGCCTTATGTAGGAGTTGGTAGAGAGCTCTTTCTCCAAGTAGGAGAGCCAAGTTCAAAGCACACTCTAACCACTAATCTTTAATTTCTAATCTAGTTGTCATTAAAGCTTAACTTTTTTTGTAAAATCTGAAAAAAAAAACAAAAGTGGTTCAAACATAGTTCTAGAAACAAGATATATAAGGTGATCATTGAACATAATTGGAATAAATTATGACATATTATCAATGAACATTCAATATTTGCTTATTTACTCATCAATGGTGGAGTTATATAAGATTAGCTAGTTTTGTAATTGCAAGGCAAAATTTTATAATGGTCTTTCCTTTCTCCGTATTTTTCATCTTCGGGAAGCTTCTAATTCTAATTCCCCCATATTATCTTCATCAGTTGTATGTGACTCAGGACATTTATATACATGCCATCCAATTCTTATGTATTTAATTTAGAACATAATCTTCTATACATATGTGTCATTTAGTTTCCTTATAGAAGGGAAAATGTGAGTGCAAGCCTTATGTAGGAGTTGAAAGAGAGCTCTCTCTCCAAGTAGGAGAACCAAGTTCAAAGCACACTCTAACCACTAATCTTTAATTTCTAATCCAGTTGTCATTAAGGCTTAGCTTTTTTTGTAAAATTTGAAAAAAAACCAAAAGTGGTTCAAACATAGTTCTAGAAAAATCCATACAAGATATATAAGGTGATCGTTGAACATAATTGGAATAAATTATAACATATTATGAATGAACATTCAATACCTCCCCCCCCCCCCCCCTCATATTATCTTCATAAGTTGTATGTGACTCGAAGAGAAATTTGGATGACATGGCCCATTGAGGAAGTTATCATGCCACAAAAAATATAAATTTTGAACAACAAAATAAATAGCCTAATCTTAGAGATATTAATTTCTGAGGGCATTTATATACATGCCATCCAATTCTTATGTATTTACATATCTAATATCTAAACTTTATTTTTATTTTCTACTTTTAAACCATCAAAATATTTTTATATCACATAAAAGGCCATATTTTTAACCAAAAAAAATATATATATCTTTATATTCTTTCATCTACAATTAAATTAGCATAACTAATATTTGTGTAAGAAATGCCAATGTATAGAAATTTGTGGTATGTATGTAGATCTTTCCACAAATTACATGCAAATATACAAAAAAAGAATAATTTCATCTAAAATAAATCATAAACAAAAGGAAAAAATCATGACCAACATTCATTTCTACAAACTTTGATATTATCAAATACAGCAAGTCAAAATTCCCCTCATATAAATGGCACATAATGAGCAGGTTTAACCGAAGCAGAGCGTACTCCTCCCCCAAAAAAAGCTGCTGACGTGGCTTCTATTTGTGTCCCCCGCTCTTCCGCTCTTCCCCCGCCACCCCTTATTTTTTCTCATCTCTCTCGCTCCCTGCCCCTCACTCACTCTCTCTCTCCCTCTCTCCCCCCATGGCCTCCGGCGAACCCGCCGCCGAGCCTCTGAAATACCAGGTACCTTCCGATTCCTCTGCTCTTCTTCTTCTTTCTCTGATTAATAGTTCTTTTCCGCCGCCCTTTCAGTTGCAAAGATGCCTTTTTTTTTAATATATATATATATTAAAAATTCGTTTTTTGCGTGCGTGCGTGTGATTTCAGACTCTAGCTTTGAAGGTTTCGATTCACTGCGAAGGATGCAAGAAGAAAGTGAAGAAGGTTTTGCAGGGTATAGAAGGTAAAGTCACAAAACCTTGATTCCCGTCTCTTCCCCATGTCTCGAATACTCTGGAATTTTCTTATAAAAATCACTTTTTTACTTTTATCTTATTTTGGGAATGGTTCAATCCTCTCGAGCTTTTCACGGATTTTCTCACAGGGGTTTACAAGACGACAATCGATTCCCAGCAGCAGAAGGTTACAGTGACTGGCAACGTTGACGCAGATACGCTTATTAAAAAACTGGTTAAGTCAGGGAAGCACGCCGAACTCTGGCCGGAGAAGAAGCCTGCTGCGCAGACCCCTTCTCCCGCCGGCACCGGCAAGCAGAACAAGAAAAAGGGCGGCGCCGCCGCGAAGACCGATGAACAGGAGAACAGTCAGCCCGCTTCTGATGCAGAAAATAGCTCAGCAACAGAGCACACGCCCAAATCCGACGGCGAGACACATAATAACAACGGAAATGAGACAAAGAAATCCAATACCAAGGCCGTCGAATCCGGCGCCACTTCATCCCCCCCTGAGAAGATCGCCGGAGAAGAAGCTGAGAAGTCCTCTGCTAGCGGGGGTTCCAAGAAAAAGGGGAAAATTTCACAGAACACAGCCGCCGAAAGTAAGCCGCAGAATCAAATACCGGGCATTTCGTACCATATTCCTGCATACCCAACTCCACCTCCGGCATACATTTTGAGCTATAGCACCGCGCAGCCGGTGGCCAGCTATGGTGGCGCCGCCTACTACCCTTCAGCAATGCATCATAGCAACTACATCTTCTCCGGCCATCACCAACCAACTGGAACTCACTATATTCCTGCAATGCCCACTGCGCCGCTTTCCTCAGACTTGTTCAGCGATGAGAACGACGCCGGTTGCACTGTCATGTGATCGCCGGCGGTTGGATTCCGGCAAGCGTTTCTTTTTATAAATATATAACTGTACCATTGTAAGGAGGAGTAGGGACTGTTTAGTAAATTGTTGGAACTGTTGAAGCTTTGGAGCTTTTGGGTATTGTGGCTTGTTAGTTGTTATCTTTAGCGTTAAGGAATAATATGCTTTGTCGCATTAAGTGATGGACGCTGAAATATTGATTGGAGGAGTTTATGTTTTGTTTTTTTTTGGATTGTTGTTTTCCATCTTATTTGGTGCTCTTTGGCTTTTTGGTAAAGTTTGTGTCTTTTGTCATTTTCTTGGAAGTTTCCATCTCAATTGGCAGAGAAAACATTTATAAATTGGCAAGTGCATAATATTTGTAGATGAAGCTTATGTTGTGTGAATGCATTGGGTGATGCTTTGTTTAAAAAACTTATTTTTAATTTGTTGGGATTATAAAGTTCATATCTTGGTAAACAACGAGCTTTATGAATTCTTGTTTGTTTAGTGGCATTTGCATATTAAAGTCGGTTCTTGTTGAAAAGACTATAAAAGTAGTAAGTGGAAAGTGTTTTTATAACTATCTTGAATGTATATGGGTTCTTGTTCACATCTTATAAGATTTTGATTTTCAATCCATACAAAAGACAGTCCTCGAAGGTATATGGTCTTTGTTTCTCTAATGATATAAGTGATTGATACATGTATATTTTAATTATGAATGAAATTTTTTTTTATCATTCACTTAAAAATTTAACATTGATATGTTAAATTTCTACCAAAAAGTGAGATTATAAATACAATTCAAAAACATATAAAGGGATTAGACTTCTAAGTGGGTGGCTTTCAAAAAAACATTAGTTATTCTTACTTGCATATTAGGAGTTTATCTATCATCATCAATCACTTATAAAAAAGATTATAAACACAATTGAAGCTTTTATATTAATACATGAAATATATATTCATTAGTTGAGCAAATAAAAAGTATCATGCTAAACATCATATACAATTATTATAACTACAAGTGTAATACTTTTTATTACCACCACCATAGATTTCATGAGCTCTTTCATAACCGATTATCACAATTTAATAGAAGTGCATGTATATATTTGTCAATTTAAGGTATGCAAGTAAATAAACCTTTAAGGAACTCTACTTTAGAAGTAGTAAAATCATTTGATATTAATTTTGCTTCCATAATAGAAGTAGAGATTAGTTTTTGTTTATTAGATCTCCATGATATAGCATCAAGGTAAAATGTCAGGACATAACCTCCAATACCTCTAGTGTCATCATTATTTGCAATTCAACCAACATGGCAATATCTTTCTAGTGTTGTACAAAAATCACTATAATGAATGCAATAGTTTATTATAACATTTAAATATTTAAAAAAATTTTATATTGCTTTCCAATAAGTTTCACTTGGGTTATGACTATGTATATTCAATTTTTCTATAATACAAGCAATTTTAAGTCAAGAATAGTATGATAAATGCATAAGATAAGTAGTTATTTGAAAATATTTTGACTTTGAAACTGCGCTTGGGTTTTTACACTAAACGCAGGCCGCGACTAGACCCTCGCGGCCGGCCCGCGGGCTGCGTTTCAGGATAAACAGCTTATCCTGAAACGCATAAGCTGCCCCAAACGGACCCTTAATCTCTATAAAGACTTTTTTTTTATATAATTTTAACTTTTTTTCTTGACCTTCTTCTATAATATTTTGAGTTAAACAACTTATCCTGAAACGCATAAGCTGCCCTAAACGGACCCTTAATCTCTATAAATATTTTTTTTTATATAATTTTAACTTTTTTTTCTTGACCTTCTTCTATAATATTTTGAGTTTGATTTGGATACTTTTTTTTTCATCTAAATTACCACTTAAAAATACAATTTTTTTTTCTATTTTATCAATAATAACATATATTATATGCTAAAGATAGAGTTAGAAAGAAATGAATTATAAAAATTCTTGCAACATGACAATAAACTTGAAAAGAATCAATATCATATTTTTTGTATATACTTCAACTACTCATATTGCTTTATATATAGCTATAGATTCATTTGATTTTAATTTCTTTTTAAAAATCTTTTTACACCCAATATTTTAACCTCTATGAGGTAAATCACAAAGTACCAAGGTGTTATTTTTTAATATGAAATCTATTTCATTATTAGCAATCTCTTCCCATAAAGAAGCATCTATATAATTCATAGCTTTATCAAACATAATATGATCATTTTCTAAAATAAATAGTTCAGTTAAAAGATAATAAAATGATCACCGAGAATTTTTTTCTTTTCCTGTTCTTTTAATTTTTCTAACATTTTCATTACTTTGATCAATAATATTGTCTTTATTTATTATAAATTTTTCTATTGATGATTCTTTTTATAAATTGATTTTGTAATTTTATTTTTCATGAGAAATATATCTTTAAGAAATATAATACTTCTTTATTTTGTGACTATATTATTATAAATTTCATTAATAACTGAGCTATTAATTCGAAATAAAAAAAGTTGGACTATGAAGTGAATATTTGATAAACACATCATCTACAATTTTAGGAGAAATATTTGAGTACTTAAGACGTACGCAGAGTTGCGTACATATTAGGTTATTTTAAGGGTACATGTATGTTTTACAAGGAGTATAACCTAAGTGTAAACTACATGTACCCTCATAATAACTTAAGTCTTAGTTCCTCTTTTTTGTATTATGGAGTAGATATTTTTGCCGAACACTCCAAAATTCTTGTCAAAAAAGAAAAGGAAAATTTTATGAAAAATTTGGGGAAGAATTAAAAAAATCTTCAAACTCATAATCTCATATATTTATAATTAAAAAATCAAACACAAAATAATAAATTATTTTAAGTTATATATTTATTCAATTTATTTTTCTTTATTTTAAATTGATTTTATAAATTATAATATTAACAATTAATATCATTAATAATCTTATATTAAACGTTATTAAATTATAACATTTTCGTGTTATTATTATTTATTAATTACAACAAACCCCGCCTAAATTCTATGTAAACTTCAGGCTTTGGTTAATATCATTCTAAGCTTCCGTACCTTTAACCTCTCGTTGCCGAGTGGCGCGTCGGTGATCCCCTGACCCTAATCGCCTCTCGCTGGAGGTTCTCGCCACCGCCGCCCGCAGGAGAGAGATCGAGCGAGAAAAGAAGGCATCAGCCGCTTTCATTCTGCACACTGCCACACTATCTGCACCTATGAGAGGGAATCAGGGAAGTTGGGATAATTAAAGAAGAGAGGGCCCTCCGTCACGCCCCCTCGTGCCGGCAGTTACGCTGCCTGACCACCCTCCATTTTCTGTCAATACTCATCGTCGCTTCCTGCTGGTTTGCCATCTCACGTTGCCTTTCCTCCTCGTTTTCTTCTTACCGCTAAGTGATATATTATTTAAGATATCAGTTAGTTTCTATAATCCTGCCTATTTGGTTGAACTTTGTTTATGGTCCTAGATATTTAGATAAGAAAATTTGAATATCAATGATTATATCTATTTGACTGAACCAGCCTCCCACTAGAATAAAATGGATGTAGACCATGTGTTTCACAATGGCCTAAATCCCCTGAGTGGTGAATTATGGAGCTTATTTCATAGGTACAAAACCCTCTTGTTATCTAAGGTCAATTTAATTTTGCTCTCTCAAACAAACATCCGCCATCTACAATGTCTCCTTAGATGATGTAATTTATGTTTGCTGATAAAGACTCTGCAATCAAGTTGGGTTGATTATCTCCTCTTACTAAGTAGACCAGTGTTCATGACAATTTGAAACGACGAAATCATGGAATCTTGATTGGGCCATCCGCTTTTATGCTTACATCAATAAATTTCTTATTTTAAAATCAACTATTGTATATTATACGTTAAACAATTAATGTTTCAACAACTAGCCTTAATCGAAAGTTCTCCATCATTGTTTGGTGAGTTAATTAACAATAGAGATTTGCGTCTATAGAAAGCCTTTAACCAGATCTTAAAGTCTCAGTGAAATGAGAGTGATATTTGTGTGTATTGTCTTATCTGCAAATCTAATTAGCTTTATGAAAATTTGTCTGGAAATTGCACAAAAAGATTCTCTCATTAGAGGCAGGAGCACAAAGTTTTGGAGCCCATGGCCTTATGTATGAGCAATTATTGGTCAAGTTTAGTACCTTTGAATCACAACTGGTTGTTCTTTGAGCTATTGAATCGAACTAATACAACATGCATATGCAATTAAAGTGAATCAATGTTTATCATGACAATCATTTTTGTTGTTGAAATTGCCCAATTCTTATGGAATTGTTTGAAAGTTGCAATTGTGGTTCTTAATAGGACAACTAACATTTAAAAGGTAGACTCATGGACTTCAAATCATACAATCTCCCTTATTTTTTGCTGTTTGCTAATGATTTACCACTCATCTTTGATTGTGATTTCCCTATTTAAGGAGGCATAGGGCAACGTGACATGCTAAAATAGTGCAAACCTCTGCAATCCTCTGGCGTATGCAGGATGAGAATCTGGATCGGATTCCGTATCGTGGAGGCCTTTAGCAGGACTTTCCCATACGTTTGTTGCCGCTAGGCATGTAGGCATTTTTTTATTATTTGAAGTATAGTTAGGTTATTTTCTGTTTGTGCACTATTTATATGTTATTTCAGGTTTGGACATATTATGGCTGTTGGTTCATGAACTAGAGGTTGTTTTTCTCTAGTTTATTATTGCCAAAGTGCTTTATCCTTAAATATTAGGTGGTGTGTTTGTAGCTTGATTGGATCGAGGTCGTGTACTCTCTTAGACGTCTGCCAACCTTCTACACTGACCGACTTGTTATTGAACTGGTATTACGCCGTGCAATTTGGTGTCCAATCACAGTTCTTCATTTTCTTCTCAACCACCATCCTTGTCTTCTCGTCTGTTTCTCATCCTACAACTCCCCTAACCAATCTTCTAATCATCCCAATCCATCCAACAACCATAAATCTGTGTCATTTGGTATTAGAGCCAAATTTTAATTTTAATTTCTAACCCTAACTCTAACCCTAACCCTAAACCTAAACCTTCAAAATATATCTTCTTGCCTCCATACAAAAATCCGTCTATGCTTCTATTAGCTAAACCTTAACCCTCGACCAATCTTGTTTCCATAGCTCACCTAGTGAGACGATAAAGAGAAGGGCAAGTCACAATGTTATCAAGGAGAAGAGCTCAATGAGGTGCTCTGGAGCTTACCATAGAGGATATGTAGCAGGAAATTTTCCAATTATAGTGGGTGCTCACTAATTTTGAAACGAAATAATATGGGAAAGTCACACATAATGACAATGGCGACCACCTAGATGGAATAAATGATGAAAATTCTTTGCACCAAGAAGTCTTAAGTGTTGAAGAGCCAATAATTGGTTCGATATTGAATATGGGATGAGAGATAATGATTGTAGAGTGAATGTTAATTTTTCAAATTTTGACAGTGCAGTTTTAACGTTTAAAATTGTGCAATTGACATTGAGGCGTTTTCATTCGCGAGGCGAGACGTAAGTCTCAAGGCATTTTGAGGCGTAAGCCTCAAATTTAAAAAATTAAATAAATTAATAACAGTTTTAATGTTTAAAATTGTGCAATTGACATTGAGGCGTTTTTGTTCACGAGGCGAGACGTAAGTCTCAAGGCATTTTGAGGGGTAAGCCTCAAATTTAAAAAATTAAATAAATTAATAAATATTATGTAAAATTACAAAGTGTGAAGAAATAATATATTAACATTCTAATTTATTAACAAATAATATATTAATATTCTAACTAAGTAAAAAGGAATAAATTGCTTAAAATTAGAAGTAATATGTTATTGTCCTAACATCAAATTATAAAGTAAGGAGTTATACATATATAAAACTATCGAAGTAAGCTAAGATATTAAAATGGAATATTAAAACATCAAAACATATCAATCAAAATAACTTCAATATTGATCTCTCTTTCACTAATATTTACCCCCAACTTAAGCAAGAATATAACAATTCATCAACATTTGAATTTTTAATTTTAAAATTCTTATTATTCTCATCACCTAATTAAAAATTATTAGAATAATCAGTATAATAAATTGTTCATCTCACACCTTATCCTTAATATCATGTATATTCTCTTATTCCTTATTATTTTTAATCCCAATTATTTTTATTTTTTAATGAATATTCATCAATAAAAAATTAATTAAAATAATAATTATTTTGATAACAAAAATTTCAACTATATAAATTTTTTTGGATATATATATTTTTTATTTATTGTTGTTAGTGTGCGAGGTGTGAAGGTTAATAAATGTGATATATTGATATTATTTTTAGATTTGTTTTAAAAAAAATACAGATAGCCTAAAAAATTTAAGGCTTTTTTTGATGCAAAGTATGTCAAGAAAATGAGGCATAAACCTCATTGGGATTTTCTTAAAAAGCGCTGATGCGTGTCCAAGATATCTCAAGTGTTTTATACTGCAGAGTTTTAACCAAGGGATAGTTGTATGGTTCCAAACGAGTTCATTGAGTAGCTTTAAACAGTGGAATGCACGTTTGAATAAAAGAATGTTCCACTTGATAGATGGGTGGAGCTAGCAATCATCAAATTGGAAAAGAGTGTTTCCATGTGATGGGAGAGTTTGAAATATCCGTGCAAACATGATGCCAAAAAGTTAAAAAAAGATTA